CCCCCCTGCTGCCCTTTGCCAGAAGGAATCGTTTCTCTTTCTCATTTTTTTCTTTGCCAGACGGTGACATCGTCCAAGAATGCCTTCATGTCCTAGGTGCAGCAACAGCGTGGTCGGGATTCCTTCCTTTCGATCAGTTGATGGGTGGTGATGAGTGTTGATGAGTGGGGTGACGACCAAGAGTCCATGTACGGGTTGGGCGTGCGTAAGATGTACGTTTGTGGTGGGTGCTTCTTTTATTTTTTTTTTACTTCCAGATTATTTATTTATGTTTTGCACGGAATGATTCGGTCGAATAACACACACACACATACGTCTGTCTGTCCACACACCCGCGAACTTGGGGGCCCGCACCGCTGTAAAGATCGTCTCGAGGTGTGGGCTGGCATGCAGCCTTGCTTGATATGATAGCTTGCCGTCCGTCTCGCCGGGGATAGGGGGGGCGTTTTTCTTGTATCCCACCTGCGCCCCCCCCCCCTTCAATGGCGTGCGTTTCAATGCAGCTGTTCTCGCCCATAAAAGTATACTGGCGAGAACGCATGTACTACTACTGTAGTAGTTGACAGGCAAGCAGGTCCCTTGAGGGTGGTCTGCTGTGCGGTTGAGGTCAGGGCTCGTTTTTTCCCTGGGGCGCGTACGCGTGCCCGCACTGCAATGCCATCGTTCGTGTAGCCTGCTTGGGGGTGTCACGTGGGGGTGTTGTCTGTTCTGTGATGAGCCCTCCATGTCGTAGTAAGAAAAGGACGATAGGCTTCGCTCGTGTCGGAAGCGGGGAGTGGTCCGACGAGTTTTTCTATCAACTTGTGTGTGTAGGAGAGGGGTCCGTACATAATGGGTGGGTGTAGGGACCGTATCCCGGTCTTAACGAGTTACCTTATTGTCATGTGTACGCATAGGAGAGGGGTTCCGTTCATGCTGTGGTGGGTGTTACCTGCCGAGTTCCTGCAATTTAATGGGGATATTGACAAAATTGCTGTCACAGATTTGATTTTCGTTTCTTGTCGGGTCGTGGGCGGAAAACTGTTGTTGCGTCATTTTCTAGTGGACCAAGCTGTCCCTACGATGCGCAGGCGTGTTGTTGTTGTTACAGCAGACGGGGCTAGCTGTGGTAACGCGTGATGCATCCGCGAGGCAACGATGTAAATAGTCCAGACTATGATACATGCAACATCTTGTTCCCTCTCAGAGTTCAAGATGACTGTTTTCTTCGCATAGCACAACGGGAGAGGGTTGCTACAGTTCGACCTGGTTGCCGTCCCCGTTTCAAGGATTTTTCTGAAAGTGGAGAAGCCCATAGAACCTATCCCCCACAACCACCTTCCCCGGTGTTTGCCATCGGGGTTGGTGTTCGTTTGGCAACGACGTTGTAAAACAAGCCGCCTCCCCCGGTGTTTGCCATCGGGGTTGGTGTTCGTTTGGCAACGACGTTGTAAAACAAGCCGCCTCCCCCGGTGTTTGCCATCGGGGTTGGTGTTCGTTTGGCAACGACGTTGTAAAACAAGCCGCCTCCCCCGGTGTTTGCCATCGGGGTTGGTGTTCGTTTGGCAACGACGTTGTAAAACAAGCCGCCTCCCCCGGTGTTTGCCATCGGGGTTGGTGTTCGTTTGGCAACGACGTTGTAAAACAAGCCAATTCACTTCGTGAACTCGGCAACCAGGTTACCGTTTTTTTGTTACCTCTGTTCTTTTTTTGGCGGTAACCATAATGGTGGTCGAGTAGATCATGTTGTGCGGGGTGGAGAACCCTCACTCCGCGCAACGGGGATGATCGCACCACGTTGTGTTAAAATGGTCAAGCACCCTCGAGGCAGTTACACAGTGCTTACAACTGTCTCTGGACGTGAAAGCACCAGAAAATAAATTAAGTCATACGCAGCTGTCATCCGTACGCAAGGACGTAAGCAAAAGATGCCGAACACCTTTAGCAGGATGCAGCGCACCCTTCATGCGACTCGCCGAATATCTCACGGCGCTTCGCGCTTGGTGATGTGAGAGCCTGGTCCGGTGAGAACCCGGCGTGCTCCGTCCCGGCTTTGTAGGGATGCGAGGTCAATGGTCTAACGACTACGGCATGCACGACCATGAGTACACCCCCCCCCGCGCCTAATGCTCTTGTACTCTGTGGGGCAACGCGCTTCTGAAAAGCATCGTTTCCTGAAGCGGGCACGACTGTATTGGCAAGAGGAAAAGTAGTGAGCATCAAGTTATCGCCACGGTCTCCAAGAGCCTCAACCAGACCAGCTCGAACGCTTCACAGGCAACGAGCCACGCTAAAAAGAGCACCAAACAGGCATCAATCCTAGCATGCTCCGCAGCTGATCTAGAGGGATTCGTCCTCGCCAGACGTACGCAAGGGCGAGCGTGCCCGTCACGAAGAACATCTATCTCCACACCAAGGGCCAAACAACAAAATCCAGTGGGCCTCTCAGCCTCGGGCCAAGCCGGCCTCACGAGGGCCACACCCGCCATCTCAACAAGGGTCACAGCATTCTTCTGGCATTCTTCCCTCAACAGAAGGACCAAATGGGCTTAGGCCTGTCTCCTGTAAACCAACGGCGAGCTAAGGGGAGATCACGGTGCGGGCACCACAGAGTTGTAGTGGGAGCCGAGGGCATAGTAGTGTTCATGGTACGTGAGAAGCAGAGGCGGCCCGTCGTACTCCTGTCCCAGCAGCAGCGGCGGGGACATCGCCGAGAAGACTTCCATGGGAGCTCGCAAAGCACTGCACAAGGCCTGGAAGGTAGCAGCAGGAAATTTATTTTTCAGTGAAAAGTATATATTATGTCGGTCGAGGTTCATCATTCATCAGTAGACACCAAGGTAGACAATGAACACTATCATACTATTGTAATACTGTTATGAATCTATCGCAAGTGTGTTCATCCCGGACTCGTCCTGCCCATGGATGTGTGTGAGGTTTCGTCCCATTTTTTGGCGCCAGCCTAGACCTTTCGGCATGTCTACAGATAAAGATAAATCTTGTTCTGCTGTCCTTATCATATGCATAGGCTGAGATTAACCTTGTGTTTTTGCTGTGCAAAAAGAAGATGCCAGGGCTGTCCGGAGCGAGACCTCCCGCCACAAAAACGAAAAAATCGGAGGTGGGACGGGGCTAAGGAAAAAGTGGTTCTTTCAGACGAAGGCGTCCTCGAGACCCAAAAAACGGACGGCTGTTGAAAATCGACATGAAATAGTTTCAAAGACAACGAGAACTTCTGGACTCTTCTCACAAAAATAAAGGAAACATCTCCACGACATCCACCACTGAGGATAGGCGGCGGCGGGAGGGGGTCGGGGGGAGAGAAGTTATCTGTGTGACACCGTCGGCTCCGACATGCTGTTGCGAGCTGGGGGGGGGCGGGGGGGTACTCATAGTCGTGCATGCCGTAGTCGTTAGACCATTGACCTCGCATCCCTACAAAGCCGGGACGGAGCACGCCGGGTTCTCACCGGACCAGGCTCTCACATCACCAAGCGCGAAGCGCCGTGAGGTATTCGGCGAGTCGCATGAAGGGTGCGCTTCATCATGCTAAGGGTGTTCGGCATCTTTTGCTTACGTCCTTGCATACGGACGACAGCTGCGTATGACTAATATATTTTCTGGTGCTTTCACGTCCAGAGACAGTTAAAAGCACTGCGTAACTGCCTCGAGGGTGCTTGACCATTTTAACACAACGTGGTGCGATCATCCCCGTTGCGCGGAGTGAGGGTTCTCCACCCCGCACAACATGATCTACTCGACCACCATTATGGTTACCGCCAAAAAAAAACAGAGGAAAAAAAAAAAAAACGGTGACCTGGTTGCCGAGTTCACGAAGTGAATTGGCTTGTTTTACAACGTCGTTGCCATGCAACGAAAACCCAACCCCGATGGCAAACACAAACACCGGGGGGGGCAGCTTGTTTTACAACGTCGTTGCCAAGCGACGAAAACCCAACCCCGATGGCAAACACCGGGGGGAAAGGGGGGGGAGAGAACCAAAAATAGGTGGCGAAAAGATGATTAGAAGCCACAACAGAAAAAAGCAAATGTATGGAGCCCTCTACTCTGGGTGAGCGGAGAGCCGGTTTGTGGTGGCTATTACCTGCCACCGGAGGCTGGCTATTCCTTTGGTGCCATGTGGCAAGGAATGCCAAGCGTGACCAAGCGAACTCATTTAATCTACAGTAGGGTGGTGCAGAGAGTGGGCGAGACTTCGTGGACTTATTTTCCCATTCTCCTGAAACTTCATCAACCATTCGCAGCCGTTGGAAATCGGAAGAGTCATGAACCCTGGGGGAGAGCAGTAAGTCAATATCGCAGATCCCTCAGATCCTACACTTAATGTACGTGTGTCTGCGCTTCCTGAATCGCCATATCCTGACCTCCACACATGCATGGCAGTAGAACCCAAGTGAAACGTGGAATGGATCAGGAGTGCAAAACAATACATACCACGAGCCACGACGACATGTAAGTGAGTCAGCACACGTGAATTGGTGCTACAAACACACGCAGTGAGCTGTAAGCATATCTAGTTCGTGTCTATCTATCTCTGCATGTGAGTGGTACCTGGAGGAACACAAAACCTGACAAAAAAACACGAAACAACAGCAAATACCTGGAGCTCCACCTGGCCGCCCCACTCGGCACTCCCTTCTACCTTCACGCAGTACTTGTCGAACTCCTCCCCCGCTTCCAGACCGTCCAGGAATGGAAGGTACTCGCTAGGAGAGGACCGCAGTTCTCTGCGACAAGGGTCGAAAACCAAGAAAGAGAAGGTTCCGGCTATCATCGCCACATGGGCAGGGTCAAAACGGCGTAAGGGCGTGACTGGGGGGTGGGATGGATGGGGGATAGGCGCGATGTGGGCGCGTAGTTAGGGGCTTGGTACGCGGATCGGGTGGTGTTTCTTTTCTCTATCGCTAACGTGCAGAGGAGGACTTGCGGTACAAAGGACAAGGGAGGGCGCCTCTTCGCAAAATTCTGCGAACACAGGGGTTTGAAAGCACGGCCCCTCCCCACACAGGGTTTCATGGGAAGGGGGGGGGGCAGGGTGGTCGTGCCCTCCGATAATAATCTCAACCGCTACAACAGAGGCCGACGCCCGTCCGTCCGCCCCGAAGCTCGACGCCACACCTCCCCGACGTGTCTATACTATGTAGCCGCTTTCTACCGTTGCTATTTTTCGTGTCACCTACTCCCACCACTAATCATCCAAGACGAACAACAGAAAGGGCACCAGACACCAGTTCTTCAACTGGAAACACCACACATACCACACACACCAACCCCCGCAAGCCGACTGCACGTATCATAGACGACCACCAATAACCAAGCGTCGCCACAAAATTAATCGGGAGCGTACCTTGCGGCCTCCTGCCTCATGAGCGGGTAGGACTCCTCCGTTAGCCCCGGCCTTCTCCCCGTCAAGGAGAGCTGTTCCGCCACCGCTCGGTACAGGCAGTGCCCGTCCGCCTTTATCTCGCTCACGCGGAACCCTGACGAGCGTTTCGCATGAGACAAGGCGGGACAATAGCCGCCGGATCAGCACGAATGTATGCAAAGTGTGGTCGGCCGGTTGGTGCGCTCGACGCATATATTCAAGAAACGCATACGAGCGTTGTCATCCCGCCTATCAGACTGAAGTATTTTTATTGGTCGGCCGCTTAGCGCGGTCGGTGCATATTCAACGAAGGAAAAAAAATAACATGAGCACGCTGACGCCTTGTCTTAGAAACGCCGGGGAGGTCATCTCGTCTTGCATACATACCTCGCGGCGCGACCTGCGACTTCAGAACATCCATCTCCACGATGCGTGGGTCCGCCCCCCCCTCCTCCTTCTCCTTCGCTATGCGCTGCTCTCTCTCGGCCTCCTGCCAGCATTCGCGGGGAGGGGGTTCACTTGGGAGGTGAGGGTTGCGGTTTCCACGCATATTGCCTTCTGGTTCATCGCGGGGGGGGGGAGGGAGGGAGGGGGGTTACTCATGCGACCGCATGCCGTAGTCGTTAGGCCATAGGTGTCGCATCCCTACAACGCCGGGACGGGTTTTCGCCGGCCCAGGCTACCGTATATGACACAAGATAATACACCCCCCGGACCGATTTTCAAAGCTCGATTACTCCACGACGAAAAGGATGCATAGAAGAAAGGATACGTTGTCAAAGAGCTCTCAACCAGACGGCTTCAACGCCACCGTTTTCGGTCCTGAGACTGTTGCTGCTGTTGAAAAATCGAGCTTTGAAAATCGGTCCAGGGGGTGTGTTGTCTTGTGTCATATACGGTACATCATCCTTGCGCTCGGGGCGGAGAAACTTTTTCTTCTACTCACGATCGATACAGTCCGCTCATTTCACTCTTTCTCTCTCTCCTACCTTTTCTCGTTGCTTTTCGCGCTTGCGCTGAGACTTGGCCCTCTTCTGATTCCGCTTCTCCTTCTCACGGTCCTCTGCCGACATCGACACCGACATGGCTCCAACTCCGTCCGCGACCCCATCTACCTCGCTACCCCCGCCCCCCGTGGTCTTCGCCGCCGGTTCTGCCGCGGCCGTAACGGAGGGTGGAGGTGGCGACTTGGTCGTGGATTCTGAGCCGCCATCACCATCACCAGCAGCGGCGTCCGTTGCTTCCTCGAGCTCTCTACGATGTCGGTCTTTGGTTTCGACTTCCATCTGTTCCGGATGGACGGGGCAGTGTTGCGCGAGGGAACTCTCGGTGGAGAGTACTGGTTAGACGCGATCGTACGTCCGCAATAAGGCATGCTGGCGTTTGTTTATCGGCGGAGCTCTGTTCCGAATGGCCCCCTGCAGTTTACACCGCTACTTGCTTCGGGCAAGATGTGCACATGATGTAGCTTTCACGCCGTTTTGATTTCCATGTAACCTGCAGTATTTTTTTTTTGTCCCCCTCATTTGCTAACGTAGGTGCCCCACGGCTTTGCCTATCATTAGCTGAAGTGCTCTGATCCGCCGAGGCCACACAGACAGGAACTTCTCTGTGCGGGTGCTGCCCAATGTAATTTCTTGTCGTCTGTGTGCTCTAGTGATTGGGCTCTCTAAGTGCTGACCGTGTACGCTTGTGATCCACATCACATGTTCACAAATCAATGTGATTTTGCCGTCATTTCAACCAAGAGTTACCTCACAACTGCCAGAATCAATGACGAGGATCCGTGCATGACCCTATCCTGTGTAAGAACCCTCTTCTCAAGCAAAACATGAGCCTAAAAGCAACACATTGTTGTCGTAGCATGGAAGGTGGGCGATGTTTGCTCACCAAAACATGAGCCTCAAAACAACCAACGCGGAGTTGTTCAGACAAGATGCATGCTGCCCAAAACATAAGCTTCAAAACAACACAAGAGTTGCAGCAGCATGGATGATATTTTGGATGATGAAAGCTGACCTACCTCGGCAATCCTCGCCTCCGCCTCCGCGACTCTCTTCTTGTGCTTGTTGGCCTGCTTGATCAGCTTCCTGCCGGTGCCATCGAGCGCCTTGATCTCCTTCTTGTGCCTCGCCTTCACTTCGTCCACGCTCTGACAAACGGAAGGACGTTTCGTACCCAATAAATGAGCAACACAGACGCCGGAGGCGACAGCAGCTTCGTGGATCTCGATCGATTGTTGTCGCAGTGGTTGGGTGGAGCAACGCTATGCTATGCATACGGAGCTCAACATGACGAGCTAGAGTGGTGGTGCTCCGCCTTTTCCTGACATCATTTCGACATGTTCGAAGATTGTGGGTTCTTGTGAGCGAGGGGCTGGGAGAGGTTGGTTGGGACGGAGAATCTTGCACGCCCTAAATAAGAGTGCAGGACGTACGTTTGCGTACCACCACCGCTTTTGCCTGGACACTTGACTTCGTCCAAAGGGGCCAGAACGGGGCAGCTGCGGCAACGACACCAAACACCAGCCGCAGACAAAATAAAATGCCCCTACCTTGATGCTTAAAGGGGTGGGTCAGTCGTGTTACTGCTGCCAGCATACCGTGTGTGACACAAGATAACACACCCCCTTGACCGATTTTCGAAGCTCGATTTCTCAACTGCCGGAACAGTCACAGCGCCGAAAACGGCGGCGTTGAAACCGTCTCGTCGAGAGCTTTTCGAAAATGCATAATTTCGTTTATGCATCCTCTTCGTCGTTAAGTAATCGAGCTTTGAAAATCGATTAAGGGGGTGTGTTATATTGTGTCATAGACGGTAGCTGCTGTCGCCAACGAATGTAGTCATGCTACATTTGAGCTGCTGTAATGTTGGAACATGTTGGCTAACAGCACTTCCCACTTCAAGTGTCGGCGATGGTGTGCAGTGGGCTAGGTGCTTCGTAGAGATACAACAGCCGTCTAATGATGTTCAATGCAAAACGAACGATCCTGTTCACAGACTGCTACTGCTGTGGGACAGGACGGGGACTCAACATGCAACATGCTCTGTCGTCGTCACCTCCCTCCTGCGGAGGCAACGTTTGCTGGTGATGTTGTCGTCTGTCGTTACAGCAGTAAACTAAATTCTTGACCCCAGTTGTCAACCCCGTGCGAATTTCCACGAACTCCTAGGTTTACGGAGCAAACCCACAAAATAGCTACTAACCTCAGACCCAGCCATGATGATGCCGCTGTGTGTATAGGCCAAACCAGAGCAGTCAGTGTGGTGTGGTGATCAAGCAGTGCCTAGGGGCTCCGTGATTTGCAGCATATAGGTGCCCCTCTGCTCAATGACGACGCAGCCACTTTCCAATTTCCACAACCGCCATCCATCAAACAGATAAACCAAAGGAAGCAGGCCACAACGCGGAACAAACAATGGTGAAGAAGCGGGTGCTCGATCCCATTCCCGTGCTCGACGAGGCTCTGCTGTCGGCGGCGTTGCGCGAAGAGGGCATTAAGGAGGTGGGCACTACAGCAGTCGACGTGATGTAGATCGGCAAGTCTGTCTGTTGTCCACCGTCGTACACTGCAACAGCAGAACGGTCGAGGTGTATACGTGGCACCTCGACACCTTCCCAGCCCGGAAATTGCGATACCCATACCAGCCTGTCCACTCTATCGTCTGGCACTCGTCATAACGGTGGAGACAGCATTTGCTGCACCCGTCCGCGAGTCACACACCGAGTGAAAACCACTACGCCCACACAGAAAATCGTCAGGAGCGTTCCGCGATATCCACGAGGCCCCCACCAAACCTGACAGTCCCGCGACTTCCTTTCTCCTTCTCCCTCTACTGCTGTAGCCCTTCACTCTCCACACACCCAAACGATTCTGCTGCCATTTGCCAATAAAATACGGCCGTTACCTAAGAGCAAGCGCAAGAACAGGGTTGAGTTGGCACGGATCTCTTGTATCCCTCTGGGCAAACATAAACATTCACCCGCATGCATTCCACCCTTGGTAAATAATACGTCGAAGATGACAGCAGTCACCAGCCCACCTACAGAGGAGAACCCGCAATCCTGACTAAGCACAAAGCGTAAGCATCGCGGGTCGGGTTGTGGACCGCTTAGGGAATTCGGCCTAACAAATCAGGTAATGATTTGTGAGCCTACAACTCGATTAACTTGACACCTGACACCATCTCATCACAGGCATCCCTGCTGACATACAGTGCAACCCAGCGCCTCGGTCGCACACACACTGTCGTAGACGTTCCCAGTCGACGTAAACCTCGCAAACGTGCGCCGCCCAGCTGCGCGTCGTCGTCAACCTAGATGTTCGACACTCCTTCATATTGGATTCATGAAAAAGAAATTGGTCTCACACGGAAGCGGTCGACAAGAAATCGATGTGCCGCGGTTCTGGAGGACAGGCAGCAAAGTGCGTCCATTCATCCCGTTACTCTAATTTGCCCTGCTCTAATCATCGTGTACGAGCACGCATGGGTGGCGGCATGGCCCGCAGGAGTTGTAGACAGTAGTACAGAGGGACATGTTTCTTCCAATGTTGATCGTCATCCTCCCTCAAGCTCCTTGCGAGTCTCTGTTGTTGAACCAAAGGCTGGATTGGATGCTGCACGCCTGCAAGAACATGCGTCGAATGCTTCTTCAAAAATGGACCTATCTCCACGCCTTAACCTGCTCACGCCGCAACCGTCACTGTTGACCGACCGAACAGCAGCATGCCACTGCCGCTATTTACTAATCGACATGCTGCGTGCCGCTTCCGTGTGTCACTATGCTTCGAAATGTACCTCTCTCCATGCCTTTTCCTGCTCTTGCCCTGCTGCTGCCGCTGTTGACTTACCGAACAGCTGCATGCCGCTTCCGTGTGGCACTACGCTTCGAAAATTGACCTCCCTCCACGCCTTACCCTGCTGCTGCGGCTGTTGCCCTACCGAATAGCTGCATGCCGCTTCCGTGTGGCACTACGCGCTCTCCGAGGGGAAGCTGCACGGTTCGGACGCGACTTTCGACGGTTTCGAGGACAGCAAGTTCTACATGAGCGCTCCGGCGCCCACGGGCCCCCTGCTTCGGCGCAAGTTTGCTGTGCTCACCTCGACCGTGGTGGAGACGCAGCGCTCGGAGGACGGCACCGTTAAGCTGCTGGTGTGTTATTTGTTGTTCTGGCGTCGTTTTTTTTGTTTCTTGTCTTTGCGTTCTTGTTGGTGCGGTCGGGCCACCTCGTGTGTTCATGTTTTCGCTGTCGTTTGTTTGGACTTTTCTTTCTTTTTTTTTTGTTCTTGTCTCCATGTCTTTTTTTTTATGTTTCTTGTCTCTTTGTCGGTGTTGTTTCGCCAACTCAAGGCTCGATCGTTCCCTGCGAACCGCCGTTTTTCCTGTATGTGTTCCAATACAGCTCCAGAAGAGAGCTACAAGCACATCACCGCCTTGTGCATATGGTGGCTCCATGAACTGAACTTAGTTCTGCTTTTCGAAAATAGCGGGGAGCCGTTTTAGCCTTGCCTGCCAGAAACAAGTATATGACGAGCAGCCCATGCGATGTTGATTGGCGACATCCGCCCCCCCCCCCCCCCCCCCCCCCCCCCCCCC